GGGCAAAGCAATTTCGGGGGCCCCTTCCATAAAAAAAAGGTGCAATACTATAGAATACTATATTCTCATGTGGGCCCCCGCGGGGCCAGGAGCCTGGGGCAAATTGCCCCACTTGCCTCTCCCCCCGGGGGGCCCTGCCTACATTCCCATCCATCATTGTGCAGGGTGGGTTTTAGCTCCTGGAGCCCAATCCTGTGCCCGGTGACTTCAATGAGAGTAGGACCAATGTGATTTCTTCCATGGAAGCAATCCATCTCCGCTGGTGATTGGACCCTTCTGATTGGATCCTTTCTTCACCCTTCCTGCTCACTGATATTAGACATGGTCAGAAAACAGAATTGCCATCCCAGGAAACTTTTTGAGATTTCAACCTTTTTTTGGTCCTGAATCAAGATGGAAAGCCAAAAATTTTGACTTTTTTTGGCAAAACAAAATTCCAAAAATAATTTAGGTTAGGGTCAATTAAAACAGTTAATTTGGCTAAATTTGAAACATTTCATTTTGATTTCAACCCTTTATTTATTTATAAATGAAATAGAGAAAATTTCAAAGCAAAAAAAAAATCAAAATTTTTGTTTTGAAAACTTCAAAAACAAGACAAAGTTTGACATTTTTGAAGCTTTTTTCCATTTTTTTCCTAAATGAAATGTTGTCAAAATCAACACAATTTCTCCAAAAAAAAAAAAAAAAAACCAGACAGTTTTGTCAAAATGGCATTTTCCAACCAGCTCTATTGGTTATATGCGGAGAGATGAAATTAAAAAGATAGACCTTGGAAACTGGAGCAGAATTTAACTACTTGGGAAATGATGCTCGATCAATCCTCAGGACCCCTCCCTACTCTCCAGAGAGTCTCTCTCTTCCTCATGACTGATATGCATTCTCCAAGCATCACCAATCTGAGTCACAATTAAGTCCAATGTGACCTCCCTTCAGACAAGCTTACACCTGCATAGGCAGATTGGGAAGGCAACCCTCTGCCCTGCATACTTTGTACTAACAAAAGAGGTCAGGGCGAACCAATCCAGCTTTACCTTCTGCATGCAGTCACCAAGTCCCTGTGTCATGATTGGGTTTGGGGCCAGGCATTGCTAGCACTGACAACTCTGATTTCATTGTATGGAGCAGGGTTTCTTTATTGGGAGTGCAGGGGCAAGAGAAGGGGAGACTTAGATAATTTCACTAACAAAACCCCTGGTTGTCACCCGGACACTTCGTATTTATGGAAACATATATCTTGTGTTTTCCCTGTTCTCCCTCCGGCTTATCTCCCGTTCCATCTCTTTCCCCCCATCAAGACTCCAGTTCTTTTTCTTTTTTCCCTTCTCCCCCAACTCTGTTCCTGATTTTCCAGAGCCCATTCTTCCACTGTTGAAATGTTTACTGTGAGTCGATCCACGCCCCTTTCACCTTTCCCCTCTTTTTCTCTGCCTCCAAATCCCCTTCTTTCTGACCCACACCCACTCCTCTGCCTCGTTACACTCTGCACCACTTCTCTCGCTCTGCTCTCAGAGAAGTTTTTATGCACTGTGACAAATCAAGTTACACCAAGGTGTCTTTGCACTCATGAATGTGTGGTACAGCTAAGCCGTGGATATAGTTCTCTGGGGTAATCTGGAAAGTACAAGTTGTTATTACTCACTACAGTAGAACAATCAACACAGTTTCTGTAATGCAGTAAGATGGATTGAAGCTGCTTAAGAACACAGGGAAATGGAATCAGTGCTTTGAAAAAAGAAAAAAGAGTTTGGCTCACAAAATCCGCTTCTCATAGCTCATGTGTGGTCCTAGATGTCACGCTCTGATGTGCTCCAGGGCATTTGCTCATAGCTGGCAGCAGGGTTAGTCCTGCTGCGTGAAGCCAAGTCCACTCTATGGGCCAAGTCCTGCTTTCATTTATATGGGTGTAAATCCAGAGTCACTGCACTCAAGTCCAGGGGCTGTCCATAAATTAAGTAACACATGTTTGGGTGATTTTCAAGACCCACTCTCCCCGTGAAACACTTTGCAACACTAAAAAAAACCATGGAAAATTAAGGCCCCTGATGCACTTTGTCATTTATGGACAGCCAAAGTTATTTTGGGTTTATGCCAGTGTAACTTGGAGCAGGATTTGGCTATACAATTGCAGCTATAAATCCTATTGACCACTTTTCTCCACCCTCTCTGGATAGGACCGTCCTCTTACTTTGTGTCTTACCTTTGCGCTGGAACTGCCTGCTGTTCCGTACTTTGGAGTCACATATACATTCTGAAAACCAACATCCAAGTATTCCAGTTCTATTTGCAATGGTGAGCTGAGCCAAAAGCAAATCTAAGGAGCTTTGAACTACTTATTCTCAATCAGTTCACTACAAGGACTGATTTTACACCCACCGTAAAAGATGACCATTAGTTACTAAGCCACCTCCTCCCATCCCCTCTCCCGTGCTAGCCCTGAGCACCTCTCCAATCTTTTTTCATGAATTTATCCTCACAACACCCTGTGAGGTAGCTTTCTATTCCTGGCTCCTGTTCCTCCCTTATCCTGCTGCACAATCCCAAACAAGTCATGTGCCTCTGTTTCCCCTCCTACTCTTTCCTATTTAGATTGCAAACTTTTCAGGGTAGGGACTGTTTCTCTTGTATGTATGGCACCTGTTGGGATGGTGCCGTACTGAATGAATGGTGTGAGCATAACTTGACATGACTTAAACATGCAGAGGATCCTGGGAACAGGGTCCCTTAAAGCGGAAGCAGATTTGATAAAGGACGGGCAAAGCCTGCGTGTGTGATTGATATTGAACCTATTGGTTGGCAAATAGGGGCCCGTGCAAAAGTAAATATCACATGCATAAAGTTCCTGGTTATAGTGACCCTACAGCAAGGACACCACGCAGAGAGCCAGAGTGAATGATTGATGAGTGAGTCAACGTGGAGTGGTCTTTGTTCGGTACCCCCACTCCCCCAGCCCCTTCTACAATTAATAACCCCACGCCCATTGGGTATGCTTTTGAGACATGTGACTCCTTTGAGGAAAAAGAGGATAAGAATCAAGCAAAGCAAGTTACCGTCAGAGAGAGAGATGAGGAGAAAAGGGAGAGGGGATTCCGTAATTGACACTTGAAGAAGTTGCTGGACAGAGTAGCCAAAACTCTGCTCCGTGGGGTCGAGTAGGACTGTGACCAGAGGGGTTTCCAGGCAGCGAAGGCCTGGCCTCGAGGGAACCCGAGACAGACCAGAGAGCTGAGGAGAGCAGACCTGGACAGAAAAAGCCGTCCATAGAATTAGTAACCACCTTCTCAGTTTGCCAAGCAGGAACGGTGTGAGGCTAGCGCAGGGCCTGTTTGTGTATGTTTGTGAAAGGGAGGCTCGCTAAGAGGAATGTATAGCTCTTAATGTATACTTCTTAAACGCCTAACCTAGGCGTGATGTGCTTAATGGAACCCTTTACCGCTTGTGTAATTCCTTCTCGAATCAACTGCAGGGTATGCAAGATCATTACTGTGGTTCTTTTTCACTGGTACGACAGTCATCTGCCCCACTGAGAGCCATTAAAGATCCATTTCAGGGGGAGTAGCCCCCTGGTGCCAAAAGCACCTAACACAATGGGCCCTGATCTTGGTTGGAGCCCTGTAGGTGCTACGGTGATAAAAACAACCAATAGTCGCAAGTCATCCCCTATGATTTACCTTGGAACTGGGTAAGTGGCACAATCATAAGAAACGCAGCCCTTCCAAGCCCGCAGGTCCTGCTTAAATGGAGCAGGGCACTACCTCTGGCTTTCTGCAGCACAAAATGAGGTGGGATCTGCATTCCTGAGCGGATGGGGATGACCCAACCGATTCCCCCTATTCCCGCTGCAGGGGATTCCCACTAGAAATGCCTCAAGCTCTGTCAAACAATGTAAACCTGCCATTAGAGACTTGCAAACAGGATGGGAGGAAGAAATATGGTGCGAGGGCTGGGGTGGACGTGAGAAAGAGAGTGGACGAGGCAGTGAAGCAGTGATGTCACCCAGGCCGGGCGAGAAGTCTATTCTACAGCACTAAGCCATGATAGGTACATGTCGTGCTGCAATATCACCCATGCCACAGTTAGGGTGTGGAGGATGAGGCCAGCGAAGAAAAGCTGTTCGCAACGGGAAGAAAAGCTACCATTCATCCAAGCCATTTCTGGCAGCGCTTCAGTGATGGGTTTGATAATTTATATGCCTCTCCTCAGGAAAAGCCTGGAAACCAGACAAGGGTGTTGGAGCGGGGCCGGGCAATGGGGCGGAGGGAGAGAGAGGGGAACCAGGGGCAGATAGGGAGCAGAGGACTAAGGAAAGAGCCAGAGAGGTGACAGGGCAAAGTGGGACCAAAGGAAAAGCCAGGTAAGGGGCAGCCCCTAAGTAAGAGACAGTGCAGGAGAGAGGGCCAAGAGGTGAGCCATGGAGAGAGATACAGAAACCAAGGTGGGGTGGAACCAAGAACGGGAAAGAGGAAGTTAGTGGGGGAGAGAGGGAAGCTCGGGAGGGGAAGAGAACAGAGGGAGGCAGAGAACGGAAGGATGAGGGAGGCAAGAGGGGATAGCAGGCGCAGAGGGCAAAAGGTGGAGGTGATTCCAGCCAGCCAAGGAGAAGAGTCATCAGGGAGAGAGAAAGGAGAAATAAATGTCCGCAGCTGCAGGACAGCTGCACAGTGAGGTCATAAGGACCTGGGGAGAAGGTTCTGGAAGGTTGCTTGGCAGCTGGAAGCAGAAGCTAAGGATCAGTGGGGGGCAAACAGGCCAGCTTGACAAGCAAAGGAAGCTGCAACCAGAAGCTTGAAGGCTTGGGTATAACCCAACACCCACTACATCTTGTCAAGTCCTGCTGCTATCACTGCCCGGCAGGAAGGCTCCAGTCTGTTCTGACACATGGAAGATCCAGTAGTCACCTTCAGTCCACTGTTTCCCATAAAGGCCTCCGAAGCCAGAGCTTTCTCTTAGACAAGACCCAGGCCAGCACCGGTGCAGAGAGTTCTCCACTAGCTGCCAGCATGCGGCCACTGCTCCAGTCTCCTTTCCGCATGGCCACTGTATTCCTGCTCTTCCTGGTGCCCAACGGCAAAGCCTTTATCCGGGCAATTTACAACCGTAACTCCACCAGCCAAGATTTCAGTGCCCTCCCTGCACTCTTTGGGCCTCCGCTCCCCGGCAAGGGACTGACAGGTTATCTGATCGAGGCGACGCCTGCAAACGCCTGTCACCCTATCGAAAGCCCGCCGGTGCCCCGCAACTCCTCCGCAGCCTTCATCGTGCTCCTCCGTAGCTACCACTGCACTTTTGGTGCCAAGGTCCAACACGCTCAGCAAGCCGGATACCGAGCCGCCATCATGCACAACATGAACTCACAAGCTCTTGTGGATATGGCGATTGGCATGGAAGAGATTCAGCAGTGGATTGAGATACCTTCTGTCTTCACTGGGGAAGCAACCTCCAAGCTCTTGAGAAAGGTTTGCCGCTCTGATGAAGGAGCTCACGTCATCCTGGTCCCTAAATACTATCACTTCGCCTGGGAGGAGGAGGATGCTGGGAACTCCTGCCCGCGTGCTTGCAGGTGCCGGCTCCAGCTGCTGGGACACTGTTCCCATGTCCCAATTCTTCCAGTCTGCAGGGCAATTAGCTTCCTGGTTGCCATAGTGACAGGCATCCTGCTCATTGTGAAAGACACAATAGGGTACCACATCTGGAGGAAGAGGAGAAACCCACTAAGAGAGGAGCAGGGGAAGGAATCCTCCACCAGCACGTTTAAGAGAGGCGCCAAGTACACCGAATGTGCCATCTGCCTGGAGATGTATGAAAAGGGAGACATGCTGAAGATCCTGTCTTGCTCCCATGCCTATCATGGCAAATGCATAGACCTGTGGCTCTTAACCCAGACCAGGAATAAGACCTGCCCTCTCTGCATGCAGAGGGTGACGGTGGCAGCAGAAAGCCCTGACTTGGACATAGAGGGATGTATAGAGGAGGAGAGGGAGGAGGAAGATGGGCACAACAGGGAGGGGCAGTAATGGAGCCACTCCTGGGACGGCCAAACCAAAATCTGACTAACATAGTTGTGCCAAACCCAGACTCCCCCATACTCTTAGCTTCCCCTTCCATCCTCCCTGTCCATTCTACCTCTGGCCAAAGTTTATTGGGAATCATTTTAGCTCAGCATGGACCCAGAAAGACATGGAAAGGGAAGAGTAGAGGAGGCAGACAGTGATGAGCAGTGGAACACCAAATGCACGTTCTTTGCTCTGCTTATCTTGGGCAGCAGGTTGAATCCAAGCTGGTTTTAGGCAGGTGAGACTCTGCTGAAGTCAACTGGAGTCACACCAGGTCTAGCTACCAGAACATCCAGCAGTGGCCTGCAATATCCGCTGTCAAACCATGAGGAAGAGTGGCTTGAAGCCACCACCAGATCCTCTGCTTTTCCTCAAGTTCTCCCTAACAACTGTCTTTCCGCACATGCCTCATATTCTGCAGATGGTTTATTCCACACAGATTTTTCTGGGTAACTTCTAGCACCAGTTTGGGTTTGCTTGCATGAGATCAGCTGGCAAGATGTAAAAACTCATTAGGTTGGGGGAAAATAAAATGAATCAGAAATCAACCCATTCCTGTGAACATCTCTGTTTAGATGGCCCTCACCGTCTCCTACTGCAGCTCCTTATATGGACCAAAAATCTACTAACAACAAACAACAAGGATGATAATAATAATAATTAATAATAATAATAATCAAAATGTTTGTTATTAATATCAAGTATGCTTTGCACTCTCATGGTAATAACAATTACAATTACTAGGGTGCTTTTCAACCATAGATCTCAAAGGACTTTACCTAGGAAGTTCAGTGTCATTATCCCCATTTTAGATGTGTGGAAACAGAGGCACAGAGACGGGAAGTGCATGCCCAAGGTTCCCTGTTTATCTGTCTCTCACTATGCTTCTTTCTCAATCATTCTTCCTTTTATACCTCTGCTGACCCAAATTTTCTGCTCTTGTAAATCAGTGTGGCTCCATAGACTTTATTGGAGTTATCTTGGTTTCCACCATCTGAGAACCAGGATCTACGCATCTTTTGTATTTAACTTGTCTCTATCTCTGTCTACATACCACAAGCATGGGGAAAAGCCAACCCAGTTGGCCTGACTGCCCTGATTAACTGGAGTCTTGCTTGATTTTGATACGTAGCTATGTTACCATCCTTCAACAGAACGTTTACATGGATAGACAGGCCGACCCAATGCGTTATCAAGCCAGCTCACCATTAGCAGGCACAGGTCTTGTTTAAAGTGAATTATCAACATGCTTTGAATTCCCACTGTGCAAATGCTGCATTTAATATACCTCTTTAAATATTAAGCTTCATCATCTTTCTGCTTCCGTTATATATTTTTTCCCTCAAAGATCTTACAAGATCAACCTTCCACCTTCTGCAGTAAAATTTATCCCTCAGAGGGTTTGTCCTTAATACACTAAAAAATTGCTGCTGCAGCACAATTTGGCTTAATCAAAACAAATTAGACAGCCATCTTGACAACGTCCTGCTAATTTCAGCCCGTCTCCATGATGGGATTGAAGGAGAACGACTTCCTTCTAGACACGTAACGGGGACAGTCTGAGGATCTAAATTGAAGGTCATTCCGTAGAATGGAATGGGGAGATTTGAGGCAGGTTGCAAATCTTGTTGGAAGGCACAAGATGAAGATCTTGATTAAGGGAAAGAAAATCACTTGAAGGAAGATTGGAATTCTCCACTGAGGGCCACTCTAGAAGACTTCAGGTCTGAATGGGAGGGACTCCAATCATTTTCCCCATCAAATTTGAAAAACCTTTTAACTATTAGCTCAGGCTTTGTTCTGCTTTGAATGTCTCCCAAAGCAAAAATGACCTTAAGTACTCACTGCTTCGGCTCCGATAAGAGTTGCAGAGCGAAAGGATGAATATAAAAAGGAGAGACACTGTTGATTTAATTGCCAGCATCCGTCACAGCAGTCGTGCTGGCTGAATGACATGCATTTAATTAGAAGAAGAGATGCTTTGGCTTTGGTCAATGAAACATATATAAAAGCCTGTACAAAACCTGACCTTTTTTATGAACATTGCCTTCTAAATAATGTGTTAGTTTGCAGGCAGCTGTCCCTTGCCTCACACCATTCCAAGCAGCTGAACTTTCCCACATTTGCTTCACCAATGCACTGATTTTCTTTCCATTAAGCCCCCGTGCTCATCTGATTCTTGGCTTCTTACGGTACCGCCTCAAGAATTTCCAACTTTGAGCTGCTTCTTACTATGGACAGAGAATTCAAGCTTCATATCCATTCAGTGTTGAGTCTTTTCACCATGCTATGCCTGACCTGGAGGGACCAAGCTGTACTGTGATGATAGTCAACCCCAAAAGCTAGGTTGCAAGTAGTATTGAGTGACTGGAGCTGGTCTTGGAAGGCGCTGAATGCCTCCTGCCGGTTGCTAAGCACTCTCAACTCTTGAGCTGGTCAAAACATTTTCGTCCAATTGGTTCTTCCACAAAAAATACCATTTTCATCTACATGTTTTGAAAAAGGTATCAATTTTGATGAAGTTTCATTTTTTAAAAAAACGCTCAAAGTGCTTTGATCGTGTTGAAACATCATCCGGTTTTGACTTTTTCAGAATGGAACATTTTGATGTTTCATTTTTTGAAATGACTTTTCAAAACCAAATTCATTGGGTTTCTTTTTGAATAAAAATGATTTTAAACGTTTTTAAAGGTCAAAATCAAAAGGAAATATTTTGATCGACCCGAAACAAAATTTCTTTCAGAGAACTTTCTTTTTCATTTGCTTGTTTGTATTCATTCTGTTTCAGACTGGAAAATTTTTTGGAAGGGCAGAATTCGCCACGAAATGGAAAATCTGGTCGCTCCCTGGCTCTTCTCCATTCTTGCTGAAGTCAATGAGCTCAGTACATCTTTCCCTTCAGCCTTGCAGAATCAAAATGAGTGAAAAATGCTAACCACTCAGAATGGTAGTGTTTTGCATCCATGCCGCACTAGGCTACGTGACCTCACAAGCGAACGGTGACCTCGGCCCCAGTGGGCGTTGAGAATGGTCCGCCCCGTGCAGGTGGTACTCAGCCTTTTGTAGGAGGAGGAGCATTGGGAGTTGCCCAAACGCCCTTCGCTTCCACCCTATGCTGGGTGGGATTTCCAGAAGCAGGCACACTGCCCTAAAGTTTGCTCCCACTCAAATCAATACTGAGCCCACCTGCTGTCTTTAAATATGAAGGGGAGGAGGCTAATACACAGCTCCATAACCTTCTCCCCTAGTAAACGCTTGCACCGACCGTGGGCAGAATTCATTGGTTTCCTCTTCAAAGGGATTTTTTTTTTTCCCAGATCAAATATTTCTTAAACTTTCAGGGATTCTCCATGGAAGGAGACACGATCACAAGGAAACGTTAGTGGCAAGCTATTCCTTTTAGCCTTCCCTCCCTTCCGGAGGAGGTTTATAGCCCAAATATTTTACTCAACCTTCCTAGCAGCCCTTCCCAACGTGGCCTTAAAGATTATTTACAGTCCTGTCCTGGGGGCTTTTGCTGGAAAAGCAGGGGCAGAATTGGACGGAGATTAGTTGGAGCCTTGCCTTTCAGAAAGCAACAGGGGCTCCCATGGCAGGAATAATAAGAGCTCCAGGAAACAAATTGCTTTTAATTAGAGCAGGTGCGCCGTGCCTAAGGAGTGTCATTGTGTAAACATTTATTCAAGTCTTTAAAAGGACTGAAAGGCAAAATGCCATCACACACACACACACACACACCCCGCGCCCCCCGCCCAAGGTCCTTGCAGCCCGCAGCACAGGCACTGCAAAACAATCTGTCACAGGCAGGGTCAGAGAAATTTCATTCTCAGACAAAAGCCATGCATTTTTCATGCCTCTCCAAGGGGCAGGATTCCTGATGCCTTGATGATGGCATGTTCCTTTGCTACATGAGGTCAAACTAACTGTTTCCTGCTTGCCCAAGGACCTGGCTGTAATTCCATTGACTTCGATGGAGGGACTGGGCTCCAGCATTTCTCTTTTCTAGCCCCTTGATAGGGTGTTAAGAACTACACTTGGCAAAACAGATCCACACCTGGAAATCCGGTCTCAGGTCATTTCATCTCCATTAGCTCTCGTAAGCAGATGACAGGAGCGCGTGAACACAAACAGCGTGGGATGAGCGCATTCACCCAGCTGCTAGCCAGGTAATCGGTTATTACATTCCCCAGCATTCCAGCTGTCTCCTCCTTGCGCTGAGAGAAAAAAAAAAAAGCAATTCCAAGTTCCATTGTTTAGCTTTCTGGGACATGTTAATACTTTAGCGCCTTCATTTTCTCAGCCGCAGGGCTCCCCCCTCTTCAAATGTCATCCTCAAACCTCCACAGTCGGGACTACTCTTTTCCCATTCAAGATCCTCCGTACCAGATCAGCTCAATGATCTAACCACTCCAGCAACTTGCCTCCAGCTGTAGGGAGTGCTAACTGAGGCAAGAAACCCCACCATGGACAATTATGGAACAATCCAGAAACTGTCTTCCTAACCCCATTCCTTAGCGTTTGGCCTATGTCCTGAAACATGAGGGCATTTCCTCCCTGGATAAGAGGGCTAGAACCCAACACAGAACTTGAGCCAACAGAATTTTTCTAATCCACCACTAACGATGGATATACAGTGCATCTAGTACCTGGACAAGTTAGGTTGATCAGCATTCTTAAGACGAAGAAGTTACAGCATTGTTATTATTTATTAGGTGTATTATGGTAACACCTAGGAGCCCCATCCAATACCATGGCCCAGAACCTCACTGTGCTGGGTGCTGTACAAATACAGAAGAAAAAGACAGTCCCTGTCCCCAAAGAGCTTACAGTCTAAGACAAGAGACAACAGACAGGCAAGGAGCACAAGGAAACAAGGGGGCCATATCGGTCAGGTGGAAGGCCAGCGATCTCGGCTAACCATTGTCAATTTTTTTTGAGGCATCACAGCAAAGGAGAGTTTT